CCCAGCTTAGCTGGCGAGCCCCAAGCGTAGCTGACGATAAGGCGACGAACAATCCGAACACCGATGAGTCCCTAGCTTAGCTGGCGAGCCTCAGCGTGGATGACGATGAAGCGACGAACAATCCGAACGCCAAGGAGTCCCTAGCTTAGCTGGCGAGCCCCCAGCATAGCTGACGATGAAGTGACGAACAATCCGACTAGCTGGTTGGTGAAGAATCGAGCACCGAGCAGCCAATCAACTGGTCGGCGGCGAAGTGAGTGCCAAGTAGAAGTGAGCGCCGAACTGTCCGACCAATTGGTCGACAACGAAGTCCATGATCCTAGCGGTCCGACCAGTTGATCGACATAGAAGTCCGACTGCCAGGTGGTGCGACCACTCGGACAATGATCCTTTTATCCTTCTGGGGTGATCCAGTCCCCGAGCCTGAAAAATAAGCTCGTTAACTGAATCGGGCCCCTGTAAAATAAATATGCAGAATAGGTAGTACATGATGTATCTTGCCGAGCAGTTGTAGATAAACGTTATGTTTATTTGAAGTTTACTCATTTTAAATATGAGTAATTTTCTTTCAGTTGGTGTAAACACTAAGTGTTCTTTTGGAAATATGTTTATATTTAATATAAATCATCCGATCAATTAGTTTATAGTTGAGTCTCCAGCCCTAACTAGCCCATAAACTATAACGCAGAGCGCGGAGCCCGTGTACGTGTAGGAAAAGAAAGCATCGCTATGGAACCGCTGCCGACCACCGGTAACGCAGAGGGCAGACGCTCGTGCACGTGTAGAGAGAAGCCGGGGACAGAGCCGTCTCTGGGAGCATCCGAGCGAAAACATGACTGATCGGGGAGCCGTTGAGGCGAAAGCATATGTCGTCTTTAAGATGATATTCATGGAGAAATGTCGTTTGGAGAATACTCATGTAGAGGACGGTATGGAGAAACATCGTGGCGAAAATTGTATTAAATACAAATATAAGAATGGTACTTATCTTTAATCAGAGCGTCTAGTCGACGACGTATGACATTATCTGGTCGGCGTTGACGAAATTGCCCGGCTCTTGAGCTTTCCGGTCTATCGTTATGGCGGCGGTCGCGGTTATGGTCGTCATAGCACCGTTCTTTGCGGCAATCATCATTGCGACGCGACATGGCTTGCTTACGACTTGGCGGCTCGCTTGATGGCTTAGGCGGCTCGGGCGGCTCTCTTGACGGCTCGGGCGGCTCGCTTAGCGGCTCGCTTGATGGCTCCGGCGGCTCGCTTAGACAGAGGCTCGCCGACGAGATCCATGCCACTAATGCGAGACGACGTAGAAAGACGACGAGCGCAGTTGAATTCCTGCCAAAATAATTATGCGTATATGTAGATATTCGGAGACATACTATATCATAGGATATTAGATCGAAGATTAAAGAATCGACTTAGCTTGTTCGGGATCAAGCGGAGGCGCCAACCGATCAGCCGCTGGGAATCGCTCCACGGATGATAAACGTGTATATGCATGATTTGCATGGCGGTGTAGATTGAGCCTTCGTGTGCTTGCTTGCGTGGTCACGTAGATCATGTGTTTCTCTTGCTTGCTTGCTATTGCCTGATGAAAACGTCAATGTGGATAGGCTGCCGCTCAACCGCACATGCACGTGCTGGATCAGATTGGATCTCGTCTGTATGTCGGTCACCATGCTTGTGTCCGGCTCGTCATCGTCATCGTGATGGACTTGGATGCGGGGCCGGCAGATCGAGCGCAGCAAATTGATCCGGGAAAACAGCAGGTGGATCGGAGTCTGGAGTCGCACGGTGATGATCTCAGCTCGATCCACGTGCAGCAGCATGAATTTCCCGTCGCCGCCAACGGTACTGCGATCGATTCTTCGCGGCTCCGCTACAGGTAGCTTGTAGGCTTGAGGGTCGGTTCCGACTAGTGATTCACCGAGACAGAAATCGAACTTGAGATCCGAACTTGGTTCTGCTTTGGTCTTCACGCCGAGAGAGACGCCGACTGGCCGATTATCCAGCACCGAACAGAAAACTCGGAGTCTAGATCCCAGCGAGAACACCATGTCGATTTTGAGGTCCATCTGCTACGCCATGGAATCAGTAAGCACATTCTCTACCTGGCGCGTCACTGTCAATGAAATCTAGTTGATAGTCTATCGAGGAGTATGCCTACGGTAGTAGATGAATCGGTGGAGGTGCGCGTGACGGGAACTAACGGTGACACAGAACGCAAGACAACGATTTAGACAAGTTCAGACCGTCAGCTTGACGTAATACCATACGACAGAAAACAACGATTTAGACCATGTCGCCCTTATGCATTTACACCCACCGTGGCCGGTTCGGCCTATCGCCCACAAATCATCTTCCCTTCTAAGCCCGCCAGGGATACATGAACACTAACTCGTCGGAGAAATCGACGAAAACGAAAAAGACGACACAAGGAAGATGCTAAGCCAGGTATGTAGCATTTGTTGATCAATGAAAAAAAAAGTGTTGGTGAAGAGTAAAACACTCGAGTGTTATATAGCATTTCTCTAATTTTAGCATGAATTAGAATGAATTATAACTATGAAATTGTTACTTAAGTCATGCCTTTGGTACAAGTATTGATATTGTTCATTTAATTCAATTTGCATAGACCAAAAAGTATCAGGCAAGCGAGATAAATTTTGTGAAAATGGAACTGACGCCCAAATTTTACCAAAAATAACATTTATAAACATGCAGGTTGATCTGGCGTGATTCATGGTGTCCCATGTAGGACAAGAAACGAAGTAGAGCTGAAAAAAAGTTTAAAGACTAAAATGCACTCTAGTAGCTGAAATAAAATGCTCATTTTAAAAGTTGAGAGACGAAACTATGTCTATCCCGACATGGAGGTACAAAAATGATATTCTACCTGGTAAAAACTTGAGTAAAAGACTAAAAAGACCTTTACTTCCTATTGTAGTGTACAACCAGGAGTACACTACTAGATCCGAAACACTTGACGAGAAAAGCCAACAAAACAACGTTAATGATGAAAACCGTCAGACCAAACCCGGGTCGGAATCAAACGGCAAGCCAACGCCCAAAAAATTTCGGAGCCTCGCAGCCGGCTACTAGCTTCGCATGTACGCGTCCGCAGCTCGCGCCAAGCCAGAGGAGAGGAGAGGAGGGATCGATCGACGATCATGCGGATGCGGGAACCGAATCGAATTCAAGCCATCGCTCGTCGGAGTCGGATTCACTAGTGTCACTCCGGCCTCCGCTGTATATCAAATGGCCACCGATACTCGCGCATGGCTCGCATCCTCACCGACTTCTGGCCGCCTCTCCCCCACCTCCGCCCACGAGGCCACGATCCTCCCCCTGCCTCCGGTTGCAGCAAGCAGTACGTCCGCGGAATCATCCGTCTCTTCCACCTGCCCTAATGGCCGCCTGCGTAGAGGTGGCAGCAGCCGCCGCCGTCCGCGACCCCGGCGCCGAGCTGGTGCTTCTGCTCCTCCTTATTATCCCCTAGGTCGGTAGCCGGCGCCGGCACCGAGGGCTTGGTGCGGTGGCTGGTGGCCTTGTGGCCGCCGAGCGCCTGGTGCAACAGGAACGCCTTCCCGCAGATGGAACCCGCGTGGTCCTGCCAGTCCGCCACGAAGTAGAAGGAAGGAAGAAAAACGGGATATAAACAGGGAATGAGCGTAGAACAGAAGAGGAACAGTGCGCGCAATAAATAACCTGCAGTCGATACGGGGAAATCCTGTCGCAAACGCTCTAGCGTATGTCCGTAATATATTGAAGTATCGGCCGTTATCCTTACGATTAAGGTAACTTAACAAGCGTTTTGCATGAATACAAAAGTCAAAGGAACGAATCTCCACCAACGGCAATCTAAGAGCAACGCGCCGTTAGCTTCGCTGAAAAAACAAACCGAAATACTATTTGACTGATTTGTTACGTGAGAAAAACACTGTTTTCAAATAAAAAAAAAAATAAGCTAAAAAATACGAATTATAAGAAAAACGAAAAGGGCCAAAGTGCTCACAGGTTGTGCTTGACCGAGCTTCCTTCCACCTTTTTTTTTGATGTAAAACTACCTTGTGCTTCCGAACACATATTGTAATGCCTAATGTATTATTGCTGGTGCCAATATTGTGATACAGTGGTATCGGGTATCAGCATTAGAGATACTGGAAGTAGGAAGTTGATGTCCGCGAACGCTAACTCGTCCGGATGGTCAAGAGCGTATTTTGATCTCGCCCGACACTGAGGGCGCGGGCTCCGTCACGCCTGACCCCGAGGGCGTGGACCCGTCTCGCCAGACCCCTCGGGCGCGGGCTCCGTCATGTCTGACCCTGAGGGCGTGGGCTCCGTCTCACCCGACCCCAAGGACGCGGGCTCCATCTCGCCCGACCCTAAGGGCGCGGGCTTCATCAATAAAAGGGGAAGCAGGACGCCCACGAAGGGCACGACGCTCAACAAAACTTAACTCTGTTCGATCTTTTCACCAGAGATTTAGGACCTGCTCCCTCTCTCGCCCGTTTGTAACCCGTACTAGTAACACAAGCAGCGGCAGGCTGAATGTTCCCCATTCAGCCCGAACCAGTATAAATTCTTGTGTCCTCCGAACACACCATCCGGGCTAGACGCGCAAATCACAAATTTAGTAGCCGGTGATTCGAAACACCGATAAGCGGTGAATTGGATAGGCAATGTTCCGCGGTGGTGAACTCGATAGGCACTATTATGTTCTTAAAGCTTCATTGACATCTCCATATATACAGGCCAACGAAACTATGTCTGCTCTTTGATGAGCGGGGAAAGCCGCATACAAGAAAACAAGTTCCTTCTCATGTTCAAACATTTTATTTAGTGCAGACAATCCACAGTAGCGAAATTCGTTCCAAAAAGGAGAGTAGCATCAGTAAAAGTATCCAAATGGTCACGGTAGTGTACATCTTCAAGCCAAACTTCCCTTCATAAACAGAGATTAAGGACGATAGCTTAACTATAGCAGGCAAAGCGTCATATCATTTCGCTTGTGGGTGCGAGGCAATGAAGTCAACTGCAACTTTGATGGAGTCAATCTTGTCAGCTTCATTGTCAGGTATCTCGAATCTGAATTCCTCTTCAAGGGCCATGACAACCTCCACTGCATCCAAACTGTCAAGGCCAAGATCATTCTTGAAATGGGCATCTGGTGTCACCTACAGGTCATTGGGAACAAACTGACTGAGGATTTGTCATCAAGCGTTAAAGCTTGCAGGCAAAAAATGTAACCAAACACTCATGTCTCGACAGCATTTACTTATTGGAATTTTACAGATTAGAGAAAAAGGACAACAGGAGGAAGATGACTGAACCAAGGCGAAAACCTGCTAGCAGCTCTTCTTGTTATGTGCATAGGTTTTCTTTTTCCGTCACGCATAGGTACAAAAAACAAGCAGCAAACTATATTGCTGACAGAAAAGAGTTAGGGCTATCATATACAATTCTCAGCTCTCACTTATTCTTGCTGATTTCCTATAGTTATCATGCATAGAGCACCAATTCCCAGACTGTCTGTCTAAAGCTTACACTCGTTGATAAAATTCACCTACCTACGCAATTACAGTGCTGTGTTATAGCTACACAACACAGATAATTCAGTGATTCATGTGGATCAGCTACATGACCTAGAATAAACAGCATCAGATAATTCAACAATGATTCATGTGGATCAGCTACATCTACATGACCCAGACAAAAACTTTGCAGCCCATACAGACTGGTGTTCTTTTTATTATTTTAAATCCTGAAATTCATATAATTGTGTGCTCATCAAATTTACTTAAAAATATGGAGAAGCCCTGAAAAATACTAGAGATCAGTAATAGACTACAATTAATTTTCAATAATCTTGCAACCCAACCTTGCAAAAATATTCTCTCAGGCAGCTGAAAACATGAAAAATATGTGTTTTGAATTGCAAAATACAAATAAATTTCTGAAAAGAACAGAGAAAAACTCAGAAATACTAGTTTAGATCCAACTTACCAACACTCCACAACATCAGTTAAGAGGAATTAAGAAACATTCCAGGAAAAAAAGGAATGCAAAACCGTAAGTTCCTAAATATAGCTTTCTTGACAAGATTTGTTGGAGAAAAGCTTTCTAGACAAGATTCCACCATACTATCCACACAAAACACATGAAAATGCAGAAAAGATAAACGCATATGCGAGAGAGAAAATCCCAAAATAGACAGCAGGAAAACAAAATAATCATGTCAAAATTGTGTCTACCTTCAGGTATTTATACCCTAATTTTCCCTCCATTCCCAGGCACTCAGAAGTCAGAACATCCTAGTTTCCCTTAAAAACCAACAACCATATACCCCTAGTCCCATTGCACCAACGCCTGCATGAATCCTGGTTCAAAATATCTGACTACCAGACGATAGAGCTCAACAATGCTCAACAGTGGCTGATAACCTTGACCTTACTATTTTCGAGGAGCTTGCCTCTCATCTTCAAGAATCCTCCACAGCACCATGGAGACATACCAGCATCATTACCTCCATCATGGCAGAACAAACAACCCCTACAGACACCAGCACCCCCCCCACACACACACACAAAAGACACAAGCTTATAGGCAGGAAAGACGGGTTCACATCACTAATGGCAGCGCCAATGCAAAGACAATGAAAACATGGACACTTCCGCGCAATGACAGAATAATGGAAGGAGTCATTAATCTGCCAAGATTTGCTCTGGCAAAGCAGCAACTAACTGTTTTGCGACCAGCAAAACAGAGCAACAGAGGAACTGGAGCTTTCCTGCCATGCCCAGACGCGTCCAACCAAATGAATGGGCTGACTAAAACTCCAAGGACCATCAGTGCAGAACTGATGCTGCATTACAATAGGCAGCAATGCCAACAAAAGCAACTGCAGAAACTTCATATCCATGCCAATTCACTGGTAAATGCTGCATCTCATGATTGCCCTGATGAGCTTTGCCTACTACATGAATGGATCAATTGATGATGCCTATACATGAGCATGAACTAGACCAATGCAGGTATAAGACGATGATTAGACACTTTCGTAACAAATAGCTAACGTAGAACTACTAAATAGGCACCACTGTGTTGCTGCAAGCTGGAAAATAAGACTGAAGTTCTTTCCCAAAAGATTGAGGTCGTCACTCCTTACTACATTGTACAAAATGTAATTACTTATATGCATGTAAATGAATGCTTTTTTCTGCATAATATCTGCTACGTTATGTGGAAAAGGCTAAAAATACAGTATAACAGAAGTTTGTCTCATGATGAAACTATTAGTATTAAGCGCTGACATTCATGTCTTTGCCCAATGCCCAAGCTAGCACCTGCAAATATTGATAGGCTAAGCAACTTGGAAGCCCGAGTTAATTTAAATGCTCGATTTCTCGTGTTCTGCACAAGTGCTACCCTGCCAGTAGGCAAGCAGAGAATAGTAAGATTTGGAATCCAAGAGGAGACGCTGTCATGCATGGTATCTAGCTTCATCCTAATTGTAGTAAAAATCTGGTTTTGATTCCAGACCCCTTCAATTTGTAAGTCCTCAGATCAAGTGGCTTGTTCAGGAGAGTAAAGGAAAGACTCCGTCCATAACTGGACAAATTGCCTAATCCATAGCCACTAAGGCAACTAATTAAATGCCTAGTCAGACTTTCTGTTAGTCTATGTTTTCAAGCTTACTAACTGTTTTTAGTTGCAGACACTTGTGTTTGTTTAGGGATTTCTTATTTGATTTCTTGATGCTGAATCTCAATATGGTATGCTAATTCCTGAACGACTCAATCTCTTTGAAAACTATCGAAGTAACTGTCTACACTGAACAAAACAGCGCCTAGTTGTACTCCGCTTGATTTACACAAGAAATCTTGGGCACCAAAATGCCCAAAAAACAAATAAAACTATATAGAGAACTCCCAATTTTCCATTAATGCATGTTTTCACCAGCAAAAATGAGTCATTTCATTAGTAATCATTTATCAATTTCCACCGAGTAAGAAAATAAAACATTTCTGAACAAATTAGGGAATAGCCCTAAGTATTATGCTATTAGCTAAAGTTTACCAACTATGAAATTCATGATAATCAACAGAATCAAGTTGAAGTAACACTAGCAACAACACCACAGCTTGCAGCCATTTTGTCAGCCAAATGAAATCACTCTTTGAACTTGAATCCAATTTACACATAGAAATGCTTATGCACACTGCTAATAGATCTAACAACCCAGCTACGTCTGTGTTTCTCACAAACATTCATTCCTCGGAAAGAAGCTATTGTATGGATTCGATTCGATCGCCGGTTTGATCCCATCAAGCACCTCTTGTTCCAGCTAGCCAACGGTAGGGAGAGTGTGACAGCAGTGTATATACCTTGGAGAGGTCGTCGATCTTCGGGAAGCTCTTGACGACCTTGATGATGCGTTCAGTGACCTCGCTCTTGTCCAGGAAAGAGCCCTTGGCATCCTCCGAAGACATCCACCGCCGCCCCCACAGGGCCTCCTGCAGCGACGCCGTCGGCCTCACGGACGCCGCTGACGGGGCCGCCGCCAAGCGGAGGTGCCTCAGAAGCAGGTTCCTCGCCGCCGCCATTCGCGCCTGGATGAACTGGCTCTGTAGAGCCTTGGGGAGGGGATCGGAGGCGGCGGCTACCGGCTAGAGGAGGAAATGGTTGTTGCGGCGGCGGAGGGGAGGTAAGAGAACAGGTGTGGGGTTTTAGGCCCTTTATTTATTTACTTTATTATCACAAGTCTATGGGCCTGTTTATTCTTGGCCCAGGTTTGTCAGGGCTGGCCCGTCAAACTGTTCATTTGTCTTCTCATCTCATGTTTTTGTTCTCCTAATAAAAAATCTCATATTTTTGTTCTTTCTTTGTTTTCCTTTATCCGTCTTTGCAAAGATCGGCCCTGTTCGCTTGAACTACTTCAGTAGTACTTTTCAACGAACGAACAATGTTTTTCTCTCAAAACAAATCAGCATAAGCCAAATTTCAGCGAAACGAACAGGGCCATTGATCGGCTCCAGCTTCCTTTTTAAATAAAAAAGAGTAAAATATACCACAAATACAACAATGTGTATGATGGATGTAAATATGATCATATGTAACTTGTAAAATGATTGAGACATAAATTTAACATATGGTACATTCGAGATGCGGAGAATTTTAATCAGATCAAAGGAAGTAACTATAGTGTTCAGTGGTACCAACAGTAACTCCGACAACTCTTTAAAACTCCTCGAAAATTAAAAAAGGGGGGGCTCTACAACAGTTTCCACTCATGACTTCCAATTTTTGCATGCTTCCAAAACCCACATATCAACTTTGTCATATACTTGTGGTCTCCTCGTGCTCCCAATCGCCACAAAATCACTCCCTCGTGCATGAAAAAAACGATCTCCACACCCACCACTAGCATGACTTCATCTGAAGGTAAAAACTTTTGCTTGTATGTTAGCCGATGCTTGGCCAACCCTAGTCATCGATGGTTGCCTCTGTCCAGTGGCGGAGCTACAGGGTATGCCGGGTATGCACCGGCATATCCTGCAATTCCGGCAATAGAGCAAGTATATATACGTATATATACACATATACACTCATCTGCTGTAGTATACGAGAGCCGAGCCTGACTGCCTAAGCGTGTGCTAGCGCGAGCCGCGAGCGAGTGTGAGGCCCAAGCGAGAATGCGGCCCATGCGGCCAGCGACGGAGACGGGATCAAGGGACAACGCCGACGCCAATACGGAATTACAGGATCGAGGCAGCGCGTCGGTTGGACTTCGAGTGTTCGCCTTCGCCCTACCGCGACGCCAATATAGATCGTTCACGCCGCCGGTCGCCTCACCCTTCCCTACCCTCGGCACCACCACTCGTCCTTGTGACCTCGTGTCTGTTAAACGCCATACCTCGCCTCTGACTCACGACACCGGCCCAAGATCTAGGTGAATTTGTGATCGGAATTGTTCAGGTGAGATTCAATCTTTGTTGTTCGGCTTTTTTAAAAATTCATGTGTACTTTTAATTGCTAATTACTTAGCGCTAAAATTATAGAATCATCTATCACGTGGCGAGGTGGAGGATTTTTCCCAACATCAGAGTCGATCTAGATTGATCTTTTGTTCAGTACTGGTTGTCGGTGCGGGACCCATAGGATACCTCGCAAGGAAGAGAGAAGATCTAGTCTAACTAGGATTCTCCCCATGTAATCTTAGTAGTAGTATTATTCTATAATCCTACTAGGAACTCTCATTATAAACCGACTAGGATTCTGACCTCCTGACTATATAAAAGAGGGCAGGGTTCCTAGAGACGGGAGATCACGACTTCTACAACACAACAACACACAATTAATCCAACGCAAAGGCTAACGCCGACTGGACGCAGGGCTATTACTCAACTACAGTCGAGAGCCTGAACCAGGATAAATCGACTGTCTCTTGCATTCATCGTCGAGTTCCGCATACGCTGAAGCCCGAGCATACTGCCCCGGGTAACCCCGTGGCAGGCTATCGGTGGTAAAATATCGACAGCTGGCGAACCAGGTAGGAGCTTTTGGCGAATTTGCATCCGAGAGCTCGATGGACCTCGACAACATGACCTTCTCGATGGGATCAACTTTCATCTTCAGCTTATGGATCTGCGAGGCGAACGACAATGGCAAGCTCCAAAGCCGTCTTCTCGAAGATTCGAATCACCATGAAGACTATTCTATTTCGGCGACTACGATAGATCAAATCACCAGAAGATTCACGCAGCTCGTGATGTCTGATTCCACTCAGGTTTCGCGGCTTTGCGTATCCGACTCGAACTCAGGCTCCACATCCGAGATAGAGTCTTATCCGAGTTCTTTCGGGAAATTGAGTTCTTCTCCGATGGGGCTTAAGAACGCGGTCCTAACCTATCAAGAATACAACTCGGAGTACACGCAGAATCTTTTCAAGAAGCCGCATCCTTTTCCGTTCGGACTCCACAACATGGCAACATCTTATCAGACACGGCCCAAAGGATTCCTCGATCCGGTGCTTAGAATGCCACTGAAAGGAGCTTAGGAAGGTCTCATACTAACTATAACATCTCAAGACTGCATCGTCCACTGGCCAGGCTCTGTTCCTGAGGATAGCAGTACCCGACTGGTCGACACGATGACAACGGCAATTCTACCCTACCAAGAAGGAGACTCGATCTACGACCTCGAGGCCTCTACTAAAGTTATCAGTAATTCCGACAGTGTGGAAACTAACGCCAATAACAGAACAGTTCACGCACGGGAAGTACTCATGGTTCGCCGTCCTCGATCACCATTAGTCCCCCCAGAAGCACCCGATGTCAGGTCATCGGATGAATCAGAATCCAACATATCACCCTTTGCCCAGGGCTACGATGGAGAGACCGAGAATCAGAAACAAGCCAGAGAAAGAAAAAACAAGTTGAAGCAAGGATGCCAACACCGTGCCAGGCAGCGCAAGGAAGCTTGGATCAGATATGAGTCAGAGGTGGCCGAGTACGACAGAAGAAAATCACAACGAGAAGTCGAAGAAAGACGCACGGCAAATACACCCTACGATAAGATCCGGGAAACATTAGAAGAACTCAGAGCGACCTCACATCCCAGTGAAAAACAAGAACAGCTCTGGGATTTTCTCCGGTCAGCAGCTCTGAGGACGCACGAAGAAAGTACCCACTCAAGACTACCCGCTAGATCAACGACACATAGGCAAGAAGATCAAAATCAAAGAAAGTCTGCTTTCGAGAGACTTGGACCAAGTGAAAGTCATAACAGAGAAAGTAGAATGGACCATAGTCAGAGCCACCGAGTTGAACAACCAAGAAAGACCAGAAGCAGGGCGCCTGCCCAGACAGCCTCGTAGGATTACTCTCATCAAAACAACAGTTGGCCAGAAGGAGGTGCCGAATCAAAATTCAAAGAAGCCAGAACGCACGATAGATTCCCCTGTTTTGCAAACAGACTTGCGTCAATACGACTACCTCACAAGTTTAAACCGTCCAACCACTCTAAATATGATGGCAAGACTGAACCAAGGCAGTGGCTCAGGATATATTCGCAATCGATTGAACTAGCCGGAGGAGACGACGATATCAAGACCCTGTTCTTTCCCATGGCCCTAGAAACCATGCCTCTCCAATGGTTCGACAAATTAAATCCAGGATCAATCAAAAATTGGGAGGACTTGCAAAGATCTTTCTGTGAAAATTTCGCAGGGATTATTACACACCCAATCACCCACGCAGAGTTAAAAGGACTAAAGTATAAGGGAGGTGAAAGTCTCCGAGATTACTATCGACGATTCGGCGAACTACGAGCTCAAGTACATGACATCATCGAACGAGAAGTAATTGAAGCTTTCTCTCATAGAATCATGGCTAGGTGGCAATTTCAAGACTTCTATAAAGAAAATCTAAGAAATAATAAAGAATTCAGATGGACGGTAGAAAAGATGATTACTGCAGAAGAGAAGACACGAGAAAGGTTTCTGGATAGAAGTAACCGAGACAACCCGGACAAGTAAAATCATCGAAATAGCAGACATCAGGAAAGAAAACGTAGACCAGACAAAACCGTGGCAATGGCTGACAAATCAAAGAAGTTTTATAAACCCAGAAGATATGACGACATTGAAAATATGCATTGCATCTTACACCCTAATGGAAAGCACACCATCGTAAATTGCTACACCTTCAAAGATCGATACACAGGAAAAGATAGTAAGGAGAACACCAAAGAAGACAATCAAAAAAAAGATGAGGACAACCACGAAGACAAGGGATTCCAAAAATCCAAGGGGACGGTAGCAGTGATCTTCTCCGGGGCCCCAGATTCCAGAAGCAAACATCAAGAAAAATTAGCACTACGAACTATCATGGCAGCGGAACCGGCTACTCCAAGATATTTCAATTGGTCACAGTATCCAATCCAATTTTCAAGAGAAGACCAATGGACTAGTGTAGGAAACGTAGGCCATTACCCACTGGTTCTAGATCCAACTATTGCCGGTATGACTGTCACCAAAGTACTAATCGGCGGGGGAGCCGGACTCAACATCATCTTTTTAGAAACGCTAAGGAAGATAGGACTACAACTTGTCGGGATGATTACACCAACAAGTACACCTTTTTATGGCATAGTGCCCAGCAAGGCAGCCATGCCACTTGGACAAATTACTCTACCAGTTACTTTTGGAACTCCCTTGAACTACCGTACAGAGTTCATCAAGTTTGAGGTTGCGGACTTTGATTCATCATACCATGTAATTCTCGGGCGCCCAGCACTAGCAAAATTCATGGCAATACCGTATTATCCGTACCTACTATTTAAGGTGCCAGGACCTAACAGTGTCCTTTCTCTTCGAAGTGATTTGAAGCACGCTTTTGACTGCGACATTCAGGCAATCCAAATCGCAGCCAAAGCACAAGCCGACAATAGTAAAAAAGAAATAGCCACTATTGCCACAGAAATAAGCCAAGAAGAACTAGAGATACCGGCTAAAAAGCCCAGCATCCTTGCACCACCAAAAGAAGCCGACATCAAGCAAATAGACCTGGGCACTGGCGATCCCTCCAAGACAGCAACCATCAGC